CTGTAAGACGGGTGTAAGCGCCTTCAGCTATGCCACACTCTCATTCTTCAATATCCAAATAATCCTTTTCAAATTACCCGTCCAATCAGTTTAATTGCCTATAATTCCTTCTACTGCCAATATTTTCCTTCTTGCTGATTAACAGCCTGTAATTATTCCATAATTATGTTGCACTGATTGTTTCCCCCACAGCCCTGTTTTGAGGAGGGAGGAGGCGGGTGGAGTGGTCATCTATCTGGCTGTATTTTGACATGAATTTAACATTAGTACATCTACCTGGAAGTGGAAATCAATTCTAAAAAAAAAAAAAAATCAATCAAAATAATAGCAAAAAACTTTTTCCCAGGGTTTTACATCTGTTGCTGCCAATCAAATGACCCAGTGAGTTGAAAAGCAGGCACTGCTGCATCTCAAATGAAAACACACACACACAGCCACAGCTGTCACTCCACACAGTCCTGACTCAGCACACAGATGCAGACAGGCCGGCTAAGTGCAACAACAATCCACCCCTCCCCGCCGCCTCCCCTCGACTTCAGCGTGTAAGATATTAGCTTGTGTTTGTTCACATCAATGTTAATTTAATCACAAAGCTCTTACCTTCCTCTGTGTCCTGCTGATGAATGAGCCGGGACCGTGGAAGAGAAAACAGAGTCAATGTCATTCTTTTTTTGGCGGGAATTGAAAACATATTTCTATATTAATTGGTGCACTGTGGAGTGGATATCGGACTGCCAAGACAGCCACACAAACTCACGGCTGAAGAAGCCGTTCCTCTGTAACAGGAAACCGCCGCATCCACAGATGAGCACGGCCAGGAAGACCCCCAACACTGTTGCCACTATCGCTGTGATGTTGACGTCCTCTGGAAGTGTGAATGAAGACTGAATTATGAGCTGTTTACTCACTAATTTATTGAAGCAGCGAGACACAAGATAAATCAGGAAACAGCAAATAAAGCAAAATAATCTCCTAAAGTGGGAAGCTGTACTTCAGCATTCCTATAATTTAATAAAGTCCACTTAATATGCTTTTCTTTTTGTCATATAACAGTTAGAATGATGTATGCTCATCTTAAACATAACCAAATGTATAAGTACTGCCTGTGAGCCACAAGCTCAGGTCACAGACTGCTCTAAATGCTCTGTTTTAGACAGGCTTCTCCCCTCGTGGCTCTGTGTGATGTCACTGAGAGCGGCAACCCCTAATATGGCCATCTGTGATTGCAAAAGCTCCACCCACCTGCTGTTAAAACATTAATGAGCCAATGGGAAGCAAGTTTGCGGAGCTAGTTTCAGACAGATGGACTGCACCAGGCTCAGTGTAAAATAAACTGCTTTTTAAAATCAAGCACAGCTGCTCCAGCACAGTCCAAGAATAAAAAATATGGAGCTGAAAATAAGCATAACAGGTCTACTTTAAGTGCTTAAATGGTATTGTGCATTAACGTAGAGCACATTACATGATTTATTAACAAGCCCACCACTTATTTTCATCAACAGCGTCGTTTTAAATTTTGTAATTTGGCCCAAACTGGCCACAGGATCTCTTCAAACTGTAGGCTAGGCTATAAATGTGTCCAGACTTTAGAAGCAGGGTGGATTGAACTTAGTGGGCTTTTCCTCTCCACTGCATCCTTGATTTTGTCTGGTGCTGAAAGGTGTGGGGGATGAGGCGGGATTTAGTGTGGAAACGCACACACACACACACCTATCGTCATATGCTTGGCCTCGCACATCTTGGGTAGTCCCACTCCGTTGGATGCCAGGCAACTGTATCGGCCAGTGTCCTCTTTGGCTACAGATTTAAACTCCTGTGGAAGAGAAAAACCAACCTTGAGGAAGAATCAGGAATACTACCTTGTATCAAACCGAAGAGCAACTCAGCAGAAGCATCTTTATGCTTACACGATACTACAGTGTGCAACATTTCCCTGTTTTTCTTTATCTGCATGCACACACACTTATTTGTCTCACCAGAACTCCTGTGCGCGAGTTGATTAGATAGGTTGCGTTGGCATGACGGGGCGGGTTCATTGGCTGGTTGTCCTTGTACCAGGAGTAAGTGGCAGGTGGGATGCTGTGCTGGTCCCTGCAGCTCAGCTGTACCACTGAACCAGTCACTGCTGAGCTGGGGATTTCACAGAGTGGGGTTTGAGG